CAGTGCTCATGCCCACATGTGGTGCTCTCACCTCATCCAAGATACCTGCCACAAGACAGCGGGCAGGGGAGGGAAGTTGGGATCAACCAGGCCTGCAGGGGAGGGCAGGTGGGGGCAAACAGGCTGGCAGGGGAGGTCAGTTGGGGGCAACCAGGCTAGCAGGAGAGGGCAGTTAGGGGATGACCAGGGCAGCAAGAAGAGACTTTTGGGGAGACCAGGCCTGCAGGGGAGGGCAATTGGGGATAACCAGGCTGGCAGGGGAGGGTAGTTGGGGGTGATCGGGACCAGCAGGGAAGCAGTTAAGCATCAACCAGGCTGGCAGGGGAGTGGTTAGGGGGAGATCAGGCTGGCAGGCAGAAGCAGTTAGGAACAGTCAGGCAGGCAAGTGGTTAGGAACCATCAGTCCCGGATTGTGAGAGAGATGTCCAACTGCCAGTTTAGGGCTGACAGCCAGACATCCCCTGAGGGATCCCAGATTGGAAAGGGTACAGGCCGGGCTGAGGGACACCGTCCCCCACCGCAGTGCACAAATTTCGTGCACCAGGTATCTAGTGCTACAATAAAAAACCATATAGTATCCACATACTTGCTGGTCCAAGTTTGTAAGACTGGAACTAACACTCAGATTGCAGTGTTGTAGAAAGAGTATATAGTCCACTGTACTAGATATTATTACATTATATTTCACAGGGTTGATTCAATTCAGAGACATTACAACCATGCACAGAATTCCTGTTGTTTTCTTTCCTGCCCAGTGATTAAGGTTAATATAGTTGAAAATATTTGACAGTTTCATGGGTGTGTAAGGGTATCTCTTATACTTTTTATTTGTATTATATTATTTGTGAGGTTTTCAATCATTACAAAGTGTATTATCCATCTATAAACTCCTCACATCCTTTATCCTGCACTTGGTGGAATCTGACAGGTTGTAACTTATTTGGAAGTGTTCTTTATATATTCCGGATACTGATCCTTTGTTATAAGGGGATTGAACAACTCTGAGAAGCACAGATGTTTCTGCCATGAAGGTATACTTCTCACTGGAGGAGGTGAGTCAGGGAGGAGGGATCACAGGAAAGTCACCGTGTTGGGTGGGGGAATTAAAAAAATCATGAGTCTCGTTGGTGAAGGCCCAGAACATTTGTTTGCATCCAGAGCATCAGGGTAATGTTTGAGACCAAAACAAGATGCCTGCTAACTGAGGAGTGACCCTTACATTCTCTGTTTCCACAAGACGTTGTAGCAGAATCACTGGTAACATTTACCTCATAACATGGAGGAACAGTGAGATGCTATGACTTCTCTACTGGGTTATAAAACAAATCTCCATATCTCAAACAATTAAAATAGGAACTGCCACATGACCCAGTGATTCCACTTCTGGGAATATATCCAAAGAAACCCAAAACACTGATTGGGAAGAATACATGCACCCCTATGTGCATTGCGGCATTATTTACAACAGCCAAGATTGGAAAGAGACCCAAGTGCCTATCAATAGATGAGTGGATAAAACAGCTCTGGTACATTTAAACAATGGAATACTACTCTACTGTAAAAAGGGTAGGAAATCTTACCTTTTGTGATGGCATGGATGGACCTGGATATTATGCTAAATGAAATAAACCAGTCAGAGAAGGACAAATACTACATGATCTCACTTATATGTGGAATCGAAAGAATAAAATAAGGTAACAAAAAAAATAGAAACTGACTCATACATATAGAGAACAGACTGACAGCTTTTAGAGGGGAGGGGAGCTGGGTGAAAATGGTCAAGGAATAAGCAAACCCTACAAACTCATAGACACAGACAACAACATGGTGATTAACAGAGGTAAAGGGGGTTGGGGAGGTAGACGAGGGTGAAGGAGAAATAAATGGTGTTGGAAGGAGACTTGACTTGGGGTGGTGAACATACAATACAGTACACGGATGATATATGATAGAATTGAAACCCATATAAATTTATTAACCTGCCACCCAAATAAGCTAAAAACTAAAATAAAATGAATAGCATATGTAATACTTGCAATCATAAATTTTAAAAAAGATAAATGATTAAAAAAAAAAAAGTACAGCAGGTCATCTAGAGGAAGCCAAGCGAAGGGCAGAGGCGCTAAGCTAGTCCACACCACCAGGGCCTCCTTGGTCGCATCAGCAGCCTGCAAAAAAAACGCAAGTGTTGGTCCCATTTCTGAGGAAATCCTGGGTCAGTTCTCCTGGGGCTACAGCACCCCAGTCACTGTCCATCTCCAGCCCTGCCCCCACCAGAGTCACATCTTCCCAAAACCTGCCACCCCTGCCCTGAGTCCAGCAGCCTGTACCAAGCTCTGCCCACCCTTTGCACATCACAATCACCCCAGCCCTGCTACAGACGTTCTGGGCTAATGGCTTAAGTGAGTAATGACTCAATAGCCTTCTTTCACTCAATTCGGACCTTCTGGGTGGTGGGAGGGTCTAAGGACCTGGTGGGAGCTCTGAGAACAGGAGGGAGCATCCTGAACATGACAGCTTAGGGAGGATTGTAGTCAAACACCCTTCTTTTCCTTTTTTCCCAGCCTCTTACCTAGCCACACAGGGAACTCTCAGTATGAAAGTCCCTGCCCTTCCCCATCCATTCATGGTCAGGCCCAGTTCAAGGCAGGAGCCATTCAGAGGCTCAGGATCTGGAGTGTGGAGGAGGCTGGCTGCCAGGTGACTGCACCAGGGCTCAGCCAGCAATCCCAACGGTTCACTGAGAACTGGCCCCTTCTAACCTTACTCTTGCCTCCCTACACCATCCTTACTGTTTGCCTCCCTCCTTTCTGGCTCTTTTGAAGCCACTCTCTGGGAAGGTGGAAGTGAACGCCAGCATTTTGAGTTGGGTCTGCAAGGCATTCCGCCCTTTTCCTGGCATTAGACCCAGGCCCCTCTCCTCTCAGCCCCCTGGATATTCCCCTTCCCCTGGACACATCACATGCAGCCAGCATGCGGCTCTCACCTGAATGTGAGCACTGACCATGCCCTGTGTGCCTGCTGTCCCCACACCACCCACACTGGGCCCAAACACCCTTTCCAAACAGAGAATCTGATTCAGAACTGAATTCTCTAAACCCCTTCAGCATCCACAGGCCTTAAGCTTGGTCTGGGCCCTTCCCTTTCCTGCTGGCATTAACAGTGAGGAGATGCCCAACTCAGGGCTGAGCTTGTCTAAGTTATGGCTATGAAGTGATAATACGTGTAGGTCTCTTGGGCTAATTTCCAGGAGGACAAGTGTCATTGAGGTTGTAGTGGTCGGGCTGGAAATGCACCTCTCCATGTCCTCACTGCACGCCATCTGCCCCTCACTTCTCACTCAATCCTGCCCTCATAACTGTAACTGCAAGGACCCACCTAGGATGCCAACTATGGTTGCGCAGATGAGGATCACAGGGTAGATCCACCAGGTGATGGGCGTGTTGGTTGTGGCCTTGGATGGGACAGCGGCTGTGGCAGTGGTTGATGCAGCTGCAATGGAACACAAGAGTGACACCTGTGCAGAACCCCATTCTGGTAAGATGCCTCCTCAGCCCCTGCAGCACCAGGTAATCCTGTTAAGCAGACAGGCTCTACCCTCTACGTGTGACAGCAAGAGTGACACATCCGGGGGTTGGAGCAATGATAGGAGATGGGCACTGACCCATTGGGTCTATAAAGCTAATGAGGGAAGAAAGGGTTATAATATACCCAGTCACTCCTGCTGTGACAGGAGAGGAGGACACTCACGAGGAAGGTGGTACAGAAGTCTTCCCAGGAGCTGATTTGAGGTGATACTGAAGGATTTCCAGAAACAGGCCAGGTGAGATGAAGAAGAAAAGTGATGCCAAGAAGAGGGAACAGTAAAGAACAAGTCTGAAAACAGACTCCTGAGGAGATGAGAAGGGAAAGGAGAGATGGTAGAACACACCCATGGCCATTACTCTCCCAAGAACTCACCGCAGATTACTCACTTTTCAAACACACTCACACCCATTCACACACACACTTACACACTGAGACACACATACACACACACTTACACACACACATTCACACAAGGGTAGGTCTAGCTTATCTCAAGAGAACTACACATTCTCTGTCTCCCCGGTTACCTGTTCTCTCCAGCTCTTTCTTCCAGTGCAGCGCGCATTGATACAATCCCTTGCAGTCTCCCTTTAGTGTTTTTAGGAAGAAGTTATTCAAATTCGTATCATTCTCCCACTTCTTTTTCAGCCGTTCACC